CGAATCGTAACATGCAATTTTTTCGTAAATTTTGGACATGGGGCGTATGGTTCCAAAATTGATGAATTTTGTCCAAAACAAACGTCGCATGAGCATCGCTCAGGAATTGTTGAATGAAGTCAACGGCGATCCAGATTTGCTCAACCGGCTATAACTGGTGACGAATCATGGGTATGGTTATGACATCGAAACCAAAGTACAATATTTTCAATGGAAGAGCCCAGGAGAGCCAAGACTATGAAAAACAAGCCTAGTTCGCCGCTCGCGCAAAGCAATACGAAGAAAACGTTCGATATTTTAGGAAATAGTCATGGGTTTTGTCTCACGATATTGCAACTGCTTACTTGTCATTGCTTCATTGCGTCATTTTTTGGCCAAAAACAACACGTAACATGTCTCAGCCACCATATTCGCCAGATTTGGTACTCTGCGACTTTTTTCTGTTTCCAATATTGGAGAGACCCATGAAAGGACGGCGTTTTGTGACGATTGAAAGGAGCAGAAAGATCTCTATGACATATCGAATAGTGACTACTTTGCAGGGGTCAAAATAGAAATTGGTGAAAGAATGAATGCAGTTTCGTTCTATAAGGATATTTTCTTACTTATACATTAAAAGTTTAATGTCCTATAAGGACATTTTCAAACTTATACATTAAAAGTGTATTGTATAAGTTTAAAGTTTGATGTATGAGTTCGAAGTCCTTCTAGGACGAAACTGCAGTAACGTTAGTTACAAATAAAAGTGGTAAAAAACATAAAAAGTTTCAATTCGCTTTTATAGATAACAACTGCTCAATTCATATCATACCCTGTGCGCCATTCTGGAGTGATTTTGAACTGTTATTTACTACTGAAATTTGGACACTTTTCCAAGCTTCCCCTTATAAGAGAAGGTTCTTCTTACTTTTGCCCTCCATACTTGGAAGACGATGCAATAAATTTCGATAAATAACATATATTTTGCGTTTAATTGACCAAATCCCGGTTCTTTTTTGACATAGTAGTATATCTCACTATCTCACTATAAATGAATAATCTTCGATCTACCCAAATGATGTTCGAATGTTTGACTTAAAAGGAGCGTCAAATTCATTACACCTCCATTCAAAAAGCCATACGTCATTCTAGTATTCTCCAATTAATGGGCTCATCTGGAATACGATATTCGTAGAAATGTCACAAATCAGAAACATCTGGTTGAGTGAAAGACCACATCTAACACCCAAGGCATGCATGTAAAGTTTTCATGCTCATTTGACCTTGCCTCTATTGCCTGTGAACGTTATTGAGGTTGGGTGAAAAAAAATCGTAATACGATATTTTTGAAAAGTGATAACGTCACCGTTAAATCTGACTCTGCCTCCCTAATATATCATATTATGTAGCAGTTACAAGGAACTGTTGATTTACATGATTTCAATGGGTGCAGTTTGACAAACATTTCGCGTGATTTTTTCTGCTACTTTTCCATGGTTGTCAATGCTCGTCATGTTCAGACAGGTAAGTAGTCAGGTAAGTAGTCATAACCCGAGTTTTTGAGGCCTGAGCTGAAATTTGCAATTTCGTTGAACGTTTCTAATTTTTTTTTCTTGTACATTGCGCTTTTGTCAATATAGAACTCAACACATTTTATTTCGGCTAGTATCTATATTCAGGAAGTTTATTCATTGCAACTATTAGGCTCATTATGCGCTGGTCAGCCGTACAAAATTTCTAGTTTCTCGTTTTTTCGTCTATAACTGACTTTTCCTCAGGTTCTACTTAGCATTTACTAGATATTTGCTTCATACTTATATTTGTCAATACTCTACATATGCAAATGACAGTAACCTTTATTAACCATATGTGTATGAAATCTAACAACAAAGTAATAGTATGGTAGCCCGATCCTTCCTCGGGAACCTTGGATACAAAATAAACAAAAAAGAACACTATATGAAGATTTGAAAGTCACAAAGATAAGTTGTTACATCATTATCATTGAAAATATAGAGGGGATTTAGGAAAGACATATTAACTAAAATTTATGGTGATTACATGAACTTATATAATCAAAAATTGCTCACCCTCTTATTTTCGAAAAATGATTATTAACTTCGTTTGCGGTCGTGTGGAAATCGATATTTTTAATTTTTCTCTTTCCCATTGTACAACGATCTCCAAGACCTTTCCATTTTTCTTTAGAGGTTGCATTTTCGTGTTTTTGTTCGAGATAAACCTTCTTTTCTGTTTTCATAGCATTTGTTATGTAATTCCTGAGGTTTGTATAGAATTCCCAGTGACCTTTGTTTTTAGTTGCTTTATATTTTATGAGTGCTTTGTTCCTAAGGTGAATCATAAACTTGATATTTGGGGTGATCCAGGGTTTGGCAGGCCGAGCAAATCTTGATGTTTTGAAAGGTGCATGTTTATTAAATAATTTTAATATATTTTCATTCATTATACTCACTTCTTTATCGATATGGTTTTCCTCAATAATGAAATTCCAAGACAGATTTTTGATGTCGTCTTCAAGGCTGACGATACTAAATTGCGAGAAATCACAAACGTGTGTATAATTGTCGTTTTATTTTCGCACTGCATATCGATTGAACATTCAGTGATTGAGTGATCAGAAATGTTGGTGTCGTAAACTCTGGTCCTGTTTGGTTGCAAATCTTCGTTCAGAATAATGACATCTATCAATGAGATTGAATTGGAGTTGATACGAGTAGGTTCTTGTATTATCTGTTTGAGTCCTATTCCCTCTAAAGTGTTGGTAAAGTTTTCAGACGTATTATCGGAGTTCATTAAGTTGATATTTAAGTCACCGAGGCTTGTCTCAAATCATGCTTGCTGTGAGCAAGCATGATTTGAGATATTGTGTTTTCGAAATCGTCTACAAACGTATTAGCGTCAAGCTGAGGTGGCCGGTAAATCACTCCCATTGCTATTTTTTTGCTGCCAACCTGTATCGAAACCCAGAGTTGTTTGCATCTGTTAGGAATCACACGTTAAAAGATAAGATCTCGGTTATCCTCAGCTCGCACAAGTTTCGACTTCTGAGGGTTGTCGTTCTTAGGGGTGCGACAGCTGGTTAACGGAAAAACAGATTTTCAACAGATCTTTAAACAGATGTGTGGTTAGACGTGTATTGACTAAGTATTTTTATTATATGCTAAAGCAGTATTTTGTAGATTTTTCAGCCTGTCTTAAAATGAAGGGGTTTTTCTTCTTGTTGAAAGATTGCTCGCGTTCAGCCTATTCCTAAAAAAGGAAAGAAAAAAATCCCGAATAACTATAGAGCTGTGCGCTTTACCGTCAGTGATATCAAAAATCATGGAGAGAGCCATAAACCACCATATCCTGAAATGTTCGGAAGGCTTCAACATCTTGAGCGATCATTAATATGGATTTTGGAAACAAATATCAACAGACTACCTTCTATTGTATGTCACGCATACTTGGAATAACGCAATAAAGAAATCAAGAGCAGTTGCGCTTGATATTTCTAAGGCTTTTAACCGTGTGTGGCAAGAGGGTTTGCTGGCCGAACTTCGATACTATGGCTTGTTGGATCAATTTTGGGTATCGCTCTCCAGCTACAATCAATGCTGGTGTTTTCCAGTGATCCATATTGTCTTCAACCATCTGTTGTATATGAACGTTTCATTGGGAAAAACCAAGAATCCAATATGTCACTCTGCTGACGACAGCACCCTTGTCTGGACAATCCGTTTGGATTCCAGGACATCAGATGCGGATGCACATCTTCACCGGCAGCAGGAGGTTGCAGGAGGCAGCAGGAGGTTGAGGATCTAGAAGTGATTTCAAATTGGGGTAAGAATAACCAGTTCCAATTCAAAACCTCAAAAACCCAGGTTTCTCAAAAGCTTGGAACACTGTTCCGAACCAGAAAACTACACAGCTCAGCAACTTTTGATGCTTTATGAAGTATTGTTCTCATGTATGGAGCTCAAATCTAATGTGATTCGCTACTTTCGCACAGGTACCGATCCTAGAGCGCCTTTCAGAATGTTTCTGTAGTGCTTTTGTTTTGTTGAAATGTTAAAAAATTATCAAATACTTCCATTGACTCTCAAAAAAAGTAGGTCACAAAATCTTATGATTTAATTTGAGTAGGGATACACTTCATTCCAGAATTTGCAAATTGAAGAAAAAATACTCACAAGAGCGTTTGGCAACCCTATTCAAAGAAGACTCCGGCAACGAAAGTGATTCTGATGTAAACAAAAATATTTATTCCAGCAAATATAGTGTGTCTCAGGTGTTTACCAATAACCAGGAAATAGAATTAGTGAAATATATAGAGACATGTTCAGATATGAACTATAGGTTAACATATAAACAAATTAGGGTATTGGCATTCGATTACGCATCTGCTTTACCCGAATGCAACATTCCTGTCCAGTGGAGGGCGAATAGAATAGCCAGAATAGAATGGCTTAAATGTTTTATGAAAAGAAACAAACAGAAAATAACTTTGAGAAAACCAAAAAGCACAAGTCTGGCACGGGCCAACGGTTTCAACAAAAAAAGCGTATCAGAATTTTTCGAAAATTATACATCAGTATTAACTAAATTCAATTTCACTCCCGGACAGATTTACAACATAGATAAAACTGGAGTAATTACTCCAGTTTCAACCACCGTCTTAAAAACTGTTAGCATTGTTTCAACCAAGGGCAAAAAGCAAGGAAGCCAGACTGTATCCTCTGAAAGAGGGGAACTAACAACATTTGTAGGAATAATAAATGCACTAGGTATCGCGCTACCTCCAGTGTATGTTTTTTCAAGGATACGCAAACCAGATGACTATTTGATTAATGCTCCTACGTCTAGCGTAGCCTTGGGTAATTCGTCAGGTTGGATGACAGGTGATTTGTTCCTATGCGTTTTGGAACATATTAGAAATCACACACACTGTTCAATCGAAAATAAAATACTCCTGTTGCTGGACAATCATGAGTCGTACAAACCGTGAAAGCAATAAACTTCTGCCGTGACAATGGTATAGTCATGCTCTCATTTCCCCCGCATACATCGCACAAGCTTCAACCGCTAGATGTGGGAGTGTACGGACCATTCAAATCCTTTTGCTCAGTTGCCTTCAACGACTGGATGACCTCCAACCCAGGAAAAACTATAACAATAAGAGAGATTGCCCATCTTACAAAAATAGCTTCTCAAAATGCCTTTACTCAAAAAAATTTAACCAAGTCATTTGAAAAACCAGGTCTGTGGCCTTTAAACCGATTAGCTTTTCGAGATGATGAGTTTCTTCAAAGTTATGCGAATTACATTAAAGAACACGATCCTGTTCCCCAGCATCGGATAGACGACACACCAGCAGACAAACAGCCTGGACCAGAATCAAGAAATTCACAACCGCAATGTAAGTCATCTTTTAAAGTGACGCATGCTAATCATTCTTTCTTGAAAATCCATGCAGGTAATCTACCAATATCCAGCATAACCGTGCCTAAAAAAACAGGTCCTTCAAGTTCATTTACTTCACCGCCATCTACACCTATAAAGATTGTTTTATCAAGCTGCAAGAACAAAGAAGGTGCTTACATAAAGTAGGTAATCGATTATTACACACAAAATTAATATTTATATTTTTTTAGACGAACCTTCAGTCTCTAGCAACGTTATTACTCCAGAAATTGTTAGGCCCTTTCCCCGAGCTACTATAAAGAAGACAAACAGTAGAAAAGGAAAGTCTAGAATTTTCACCACTACGCCAGAAAAAATCGTCTGGAAGGAATTGAGAAGGAAAGAGAAAGGCGAAAACAAATTCAGTGTGAACGAAACCAAAAACGGCTGCTGAAGCAAGTGTTTCCACAAAATAAAAAGACCAAAAATTGCAACAAAACTCACCAGGAAAATGAGCACAAGTAGTTCAGATTCTGACGAATCCATTGTTCTAGAATCGGAGGAAATTTCTGATGATTTTAGTGATGAAGAAAATGTGCATCTCATAACAGATGATGATGATATTAATAAAAACGACTTTGTTTTGGTGAAGTTTCCTCTAAAAATGACTGTATCTTATTACATAGAAAAAGTCATAGAAAGTTTACACCTCAATGAATTTCAAATTAAATATTTACGTCGAAAGGTACCAGATTACAAATTTAATACCCTCTAGTTGATGACATATCTACAGTTGACCGCCGTGATCTTGTTTTAAAGTTACCGAAACCCAATTCAGCTAAAACTGCAAGAACCTCTTCATCAGTCTAAAAGTGATGTCAGTTCATTTTTGGATAATGGAGCTAAAGTGAATAGAGAAATTGAAGAATCACAAACTGAATTCTCTGAATCGTTCATAATCACCCATTCATTCTGAAACAAAACCTTGCTGTGGTTTAGTGTAACTTCTCACAACTTCAACTTCAGCTAAGAAAACTCTAATTGAAAGCTTATGACTCGTATTTACACTCCTAGATACATATATTTCGACATGATCGTGCTAATAATCCAAGCTCAACGTTTTCCATAACAACCCCTGTAGCTATTAGCAATGTTTAGTCCCGTTACGTCATGTGTAGATGAATTTTGTAAATCAGCGGCAGAGCCACAACGTAGTTGGGACTTGCCATTATCGCTTTTTGTGCCTCCAGCATTTCGTTGAGTAGAAACAGTATTAAATACTTCAGTAACATGGATGTGTTCACCCTTCTGTTTTAGTTTGGTTCGGGTTGATTGAAAACTAGAATCTTGATGAAGATCTGGTAGGGAATTTGACGGTATAAATAGGGTTGTTTCGTGAGCCAAAGGAAATATGCCATGATTTCAAAATATATTGCCAGGAAAAACAATAGGTAATGGACACATTGATTTATTGCAGTTGGAAACCTCCTAAAGCTGTGGCTTACTGAAATTCTGGAACGAATAATCCAACTTGGGAATCGTTGTGATGCACTGTTTGGAACCTTCGGTATAGTGATGAATATTACTGGAGTTTTATTTGTTTGGATCACCAAGTAATCATCTTCAAGAGGAAGGTTAATCTTTCACGTTTCGTGGTGTTGAAAAAAAGTCTGGTATGGTGGTATGGGAAATGGTACTAAAAAAATACTACCACCCCTCACAAGTTGATATCTCTTAGGCTTAGGTTCAGTATTTTTCTACTGGTTTACAAGTCCATATTTACCACCTCAGATATTTTGACTAGAATTAGGCGCTGTTATAGACGCTTCTCGTAGACCAGCACACAATACTGCTGAATGGAAAAAAACATCTGCAAGACAAACCTCTGTGCGTGCATGTCATACCGACCATGTCGGTATGACCGACAATGTCGGTATGACTCTTTAGGTATATCGACAAATTCGTTACATGCTCTTGCAAGTCTTATGAATGATAAATTATTTGATTGATTTGACTTGATAGCTAGTTCTTTTAGATGTTTTTCGAATATTTATGTTTTCTGTCTGTCTTCTTTGACACCAAAACTCGGAATATCTTGTGGAGGAGCCGTTGTTATTCAAATTAAACTGGCATGTTTCGGTCTTGTTTGTGTTTATCTGCAGTTTTCATTTTCGTAAGTTCTCATTCATAGTTTTCATGAGCTAATGATAGAATTGTTTCATGGATGTTCTGTTCAGGCAAAGTATCGGGCGCTTCGCCCATAGTGGCGAAGTGCCAAAAACAATGGCGCTGTCTGTGAAAGTGTGCAGGTAGAATCCGAGGCAGTCGATTTCAAGTCGCACAAAAACTAGACCTTTCGCAGGCCAAAACTTGGCAAATTTAGCGTCGTGACTTGAGCCTGCACCGTACATAACTCAAGTAACCTAGGAACAGAAGGTAAGCGACCATATCCATCGACGTGTGTTCGCTGAATGGGCTCTGAAGCAGTTGGCAACTGACCTTAATTCTCATCGAAGTATCATCTTCAGCGATGAGACCCATTTCTGGATGAATGGGCTCGTAAACCAACAAAACTGTCGAATTTGAAGTGATAAGAATCCACATGAGGTTCAAGAGCGTCCAATGCATACCAAAAAGTCACTGTTTGGTGTAGATTTTGAGCTGACGGAGTCATTGGTCCATATTTCTTTGAGATCGACGTTGGCCGGCTTCACTGTCAACAGCAAGCACCATGCGACGATGATTACCTAATTTTTTGGCCTGAATTGGATGATTTGGACACCTGACATGTGGTTTCAACAGAAAGGTGATACGTGCCATACAGCTCATGACACAATGGATCTGTATCTGTAGATTAGGGAGGGTGAGTGTAGGCTACATATGACCCATGGTACATCCTTCCGAGGAGCTGTCCTCNTCGAAATTAGTTTTTTCAGAATATGTGGGACAATAATTGAATTAATAATTAGCTTAAAAAAATTATGGAGTGACAATCACGACAGCAACTCAAGCTATTTATAACATGTCTAGCTAACAATGCATCATGGGGATATCCAATCCAACTAAAGGAGATAAGTTTTAGGACACGACGTTACACTGACGCAACTTTCTCTATATATAACTGATGAGGTGGAAAGCATAATATAAGGTTTTCGATGTAGATGGGCCTACATCTATGGAGATTCGTGCAATTAATCCATACATCCTGTTCGCAGCAGACAGAGTGGCTTCAATGTGCGGTAATAAGAAAATATTTGTGTCGAAGGTAACACCTAAATCGGTGAATGTGAGAGGCCATTGAAGTATAATATCGTTTATTAAATACTGATATGGAAATGAACGATTTTTATTGTGTACGTCATTACATTACATTAACTCGCGTTTAAAGGAAGATTGTTGCGAAAACACCATTGCTCAATACGTTTCAGATTGAGGGAAAGTTGAAGACAGTCCTTGATGCCATTGATCTCACAATATAATTTCATGTCATCCGCGTATAATAAACAGTTGATGTCAATGACCTCAACTATGTCGTTTATGAAGGCGTTAAAGAGAAGTGGACCTAGGTAGCTTCCTTGTGGGACACCCGAGGTAGCTGAAGCCATTGAATATAACATACTGACTGACGCCTGTCAGTGAAGTATGGAATACCCTATAGTTTCGAAGGATTTCGAAATCAGATCACTGGTGGTGGGTGGCTAGAATTGATGTGTTAACGCTTCTGTGACAGTTCAAGTATGTTGAATCGCAAGTAATACTATCTTGCCACATTCATCCAATCGTTTTTATAATGATGTGTGTTGAAACAACATGAAATGTTACTTCTGGATGCGTATAATTGCTCTACATTGTGTACGTAGTAGAAATACACATTTCGACGTAACAGNTCAATATTATACATACATGGACTGTTCAAAAAATAAAGTGAATGTTCAAATTTTGTGATATATTTGAATGTTTTTTTAATGTTCACAGTTTGAGCATTTCAACATGTTCAGTTTATTGGTGAGGGGCTATCGATAAAAATGTATTAAATAATTCCCATCAAAGTTTGTGTAAAAAATGGAATCGAGTGCAAAAAAAAAACATTCGAAACGTTGACAGTGGTATATGGTCATAGAAATTTTAACAAAAGGTCGAGATAATGTGAATGACGACGCTCAACCTGAACGCCCCATCACATCAATAACCGTTGGAAATGTTGATGGAAGTGAAGAACATTGTTCCGGCTATAACTGGTGACGAATCATGGGTATGGTTATGACATCGAAACCAAAGTCCAATATTTTCAATGGAAGAGCCCAGGAGAGCGAAGACTATGAAAAACAAGCCTAGTTCACCGCTCGCGCAAAGCAATACGAAGAAAACGTTTGATATTTTAGGAAATAGTCATGGGTTTTGTCTCACGATATTGCAACTGCTTACTCGTCATTGCTTCATTGCGTCATTTTTTGGCCAAAAACAACCCGTAACATGTCTCAGCCACCATATTCGCCAGATTTGGTCCTCTGCGACTTTTTTCTGTTTCCAATATTGGAGAGACCCATGAAAGGACGGCGTTTTGTGACGATT